TTTGATTTTGAATGGATTAGTCAATCCTATGCTTGTTTCTTGTTTATCAACTCCAATTTGCCTTTTTTTAAAAAAAACTTGAACTTGTAAATACCGTGTTCTGCTGCAGTGTTTTAGCCCGTTTTGTCCCGGGACTGCGGAAATCCAGCGATTGGTGTCTTAGCTGAACCTTAGAACTGGAAACCAGTGACCTAAGAACAGCTTAGGCTGTAAAACAGAAAAGGAGAACAGAATTTATTCTTAAACCACCTTTTTTATACTTCAGACTGTCGGTATCAAGCAGGATTGGGACGCTCCATATGGGAATGTTTATTTGTTTCAAGTTAAACTCTGAAGTAGTTTTCTTTCCTGTGGTATAAAAATAATTAACTGTGAAAAAGAGTAGAGATTAAGACCAGTATGAAGTCGGATGTCCTTTACGGGCCGTACTTGCGTGGTTGGAGGGCTGCAGGGTGGATTCTGCAAATTCCGGGCACTGAGCTGCTGCGCCAGTAGTTTTGGGTGCCTTGGGTGTGAGGGACACGTTCCTGCTGTGTCCAGGCTGTTCATCCCTCTTTTGCAAGATGCGGGGCCGGAGCCTGAACACTGATCTCTCACCTCCCAGATAAGTGATCTGCTCAACTCGGCTAGATGATAGTCTGAATTACGTTCAATTAATTAAATATTCATTAGAATAAATACTGCAGTCTCCGGCTGCCTCTGCTCAGATAAGCACACAAACAATTTGATTATAGGCTCAAATGCTGTCTCTGCTCTACAAAGTATGTTTAATTTTCAACATCTGTTTTAGTCACCGAATCCATTAAGTCATGCTGATGAAAAATAATTTCTTGCTGAAGTGTTTCGCTGGATTAAACTTTAAAGACAAAAGAGGGTGTAGTTCCAATCGGGCTTTGTGTGGGTTGCAGTTTTAATGGTGAAGAGGGAAGGTGCTTAATAAAGATTATTGGGAAGTTATTAAAGAAGAAAACAGTGACCAGGAAGTCAGCTGGGAGTAGACAGAAGTTGCATACTTGGTGCTGAATGGGAGTTGGCGGAAAGAAGTGCTG